AATTCACATTTTTCTTTTTCTATTCGCATTCTTCCCTAATAATGGTATTCGATTATCATCTTTCCACGATTCAGCCTTAGGAGAACTTTTGCGTTTGGCCAAGATTTTTATGGAAATTTGAAGATCAATATTCGTGCTCGGCGCAATCTCTCAATGAACGTGATTGAGAAAATCGAATTCGCAACGGATGGATGCAAGGATATTCGAATGCAGCCATGTGCTTACTTTCCAAGCTTTTGGCCGTATTCAAAATGTTCCTTTTTCCCTATTCCATGTCGGTGCACACAAATAAAGCTTAATTTCCACGTAATGGTAAATAAGCTTAATTTTTGGCGACCAAAAATGTCAATCTATGGCTTTGATTCATTTGACGGTGCCACTGTTGTGATATCATTAGAATTAATGATTACCAATTAGACCTTGCGCTATTCACCTTCATTTCTCGATTTGTGACCGTAAGGATACGCTCAAAACCCTGAATATCGTATGTTAGTATGTTAGACACTAATTCTCGGGGGTCGATCTCAAGGACACCACTGTGCCCAATTAAACGTTAATGTACAGTACATAGGTGTCGATGCGTATTTTAAGAATTTATACTTGCAACAATGATGAATGCTATTTCAATGAAGAATCTATAGCGTGTCGCGTATGAATTTTATTGGACTGCCTTGATGCGCCGAATAAAATTTATTCCATTTTTCGAAATCCGTGTTTTGTTTTGTTTTGTTTGTTTGTTTAATTTATTTGATCACTTTTTAAATACAGTAATTTATTATTTTTTTTTATATTTTTTTTAGAAAAAAAAAGTCTAAATTATGTATCAGTAAATAAAATTTTAACAAAGTTCTTCATGCAAATAAATGAAATTACTATTATTAATATATTTGAAAGGTGATTACTAATATCGCTTATAAAAAATAATCAATAAAATGTGACGGGTAAAATATGATCGTTGCTATTATAAAACGCCGACAAGCCCTAAATGCCTAAAATCGAAGTACAAAGCTGGCGTACGCGCCGCGAGTGAACAATAGGTGGTTATGAAAAAAAACCTCCACTTTTATGGCGCATGTTCTGCCTCGGCATTACCCAAAGTTCGGATCACATGACATCACTATTAGTCAAAAAATAAAATAAAAATAAACTTCTTGTTTTTTATTTGAACATGAGTTCTTAATTTCACTAAATCTAAAATTACTTCGCATTTTGGTCTCATTTAAGTTCCAGGTAATGA